TGTACCAGGGATTGAAGTGTTGACCTCATACTTTCCAGGCAGGCGCTTTTATGTCATGAGAAAGTAATCTCTTATCATTTTGATGTAAGGTAAAAATGGGACTAATTACATTTGTGGGGGAGTTGTTGAGAAGATTATGTGAAATTAAGTAAGTGAAGAATTTCACTAATTCCCGGCATGTAATAAGTACTCAATGCATTATACTTGTTATGATATAATTATTATGTGCCTATAGAAAGCAGAACAAACACTTCAGAAAATGAAGTTTTGTTGGAGGGAAGAGAACTGAGTACAGTGAAAAAAATTTTTTCTACAGTTACAAATTTATTATCATCCCAAATAATGTTATGGTTTCAGAGAAAAAGAGGAGCATAGGGAAAAAAGGGCATGTCATACATTGTGACATCTATGGCGTTAAAAAATGGGTGTGTTTTAGAAGTAGGGATTTGAAAACATGTGAATTAAGACACAAGAATTTATAGCAAGTCACCTTGCCCACCAAGAAGGTATGTTAATCTCGATTCTTTGAAGAACAAAGAGATTCCTTAAATTCCTCTGGAAGCAATAAAGTGACCCAAACCTGCCTCAGCTCCATTTAAGTACGCAGTCTCTAGAGACCCTAGACTGAACTGAGAAGAACCAAATGCCCCTTATTCTGCCTGCTGTCTCCTAGGTCAGCACAAAGAAATCAAGATTTGCCTCTTCAAAGAGCAGGCGAGAAGCAGCTCCTGAGGTTGTGTGGTTTGCAGTTAATGACTAAAGAACTAGGTGTAGACACTGCAGTGAATTTTAACTTGAAGAAAAAAAAATATTACAGCAGACTAAATTGGGCTCATGCATAAATATCACATCATTTCTTTGACATGAGATTCCAAATGTATGTAATTCCAAATGTTCCAAAAGCATGTAAAAGGTTTTTTGAAACAGGAAGAAACTGTTGTTCAAAAGAAAGGGAAACTGGAGTGGGGGAAGTGTCCATACTCTTAAATTAAATGAATTGGACACGCATGTTTAAATATCACGTTGTTTCTCTAGTAGGAGAAACTGAAAGGGTAAATAAGGACCAAAATGTATAGCAGCAGATACTGGGAAACAGGAAGAAAGAATTCAAAAGGGAACGGGGACAAGGGATGGGAGAGGGGGAGAGGAAGGAGGGGAAAAGAAAAAAAAGAATAGAAGGAAGAAAATGGAAACAAAGCTTTTATAAAAAAGGAGGGGAAAAGGGATTGAAGGGAGGAGAGGGGCTTGGGGAAAGAAGAATCCAAAAATATGTGCAAGTATAAACTTACCCTAATGAATGTGATCATTATGATATCTAAAATGCTTCAAAAATTAATAATAATAATAGTACTAAGACACTCCCCAAGGTTTGTATTTTTGTCTGGGAAAAGTGAATTCAGGATTCTGGAGAATTAATGATGGACAGAGAAGCAGCTTCTTAGGGACCCAGGAGGATGCTGGGCACACCCTAGCAGGTGATGGCTTCTAAGCCCCATTCCTCTTTCAGGATCCCTTTCAGGTCTCCTCTCTTCCATGAAGCTTGTAAACACTGGCCAAATCTGAGAATAATGGTAACTGTACAATAACAATTAGCAATAACATTACTAATGTTAGCAATTAAATTGTAACAGTCAGTAGTACATATATTTCTTTCATCCACCTACCTGTTTGATAACTGTTTGGACCTAGGACCTATCACTTGGATGTACTATCTTTTCTGTTGTTTTGTGCAGTTTCATACATCTTGTTTATATAGCCTCAATGTCCTTTTTTAACACAGTACACCTTGTTTAATCAGTGCAGTACTGTCATTTTTGCTGATTGTACTGTATAGTACATACTAAACAGTAAGAACCCAGCTTACAAATGAAGTCCATTCAAAGAGAACATTTGTAACTTAGATTTGTTCATAAGGTCAACAAAGTGAATCTTATGTACCTTTGACACAAACATACAATGTAAAGTATAAAGAAACTAAACACACCCAAAATACTGTAAATAAACTACTTTTACTTTTACAGTTACCTTAAAATAATGGTACAGGGTAAGGGTTAGTGTGAGCTGTTTCCACAATCTGTTTACATTTATGAATATTTGTAATACAAAGTACAATCAAAGTAAGTACTCATAAGGAGGGACTTCCTGTAGTTTTATGTTCTGTTATACATTATAGTACTGCATGTAAGAGTTATGCAAATAAAAGCAAAGTCATCAAGTTGGTGTTTCCTTTGACCATTTCTTTGTTCTGATATTATAACGTTCGTATTTCATTCCTCATTTAGTGACCGATTCATTTAATGACCTAATTGCAGGAAATTAACTTGATCATTAAATAGGAATGTCTGTAATTACCATTCACTTAATGCCTGTTAGGTGTTAGACAATGTGATAGAAGCTTAACACAAAATACCTGTTTTTAAACAACAATCCAATCTTGGGGAAAATGTCTAACAAGCTTAACTGTCTAACTTAAATGTCTAACAAGCATATCATCTTTAGTTCCTAAAACAAGCAAGACAGGTTTTATAATCTCTGTTTTCTGGGTGAGAGAATAGGATTAGAGATGTCGAAGTAGATCTTCGACATACAGTCCATGGCAGACAGAGCTGGCATTTGGACCCTGAGCTTGAAGACAAACAAGGGTCTTGATGTGCATATCTTTTGTGCTGTTTGAAACATAGTCCCTCAGTTCTTTGCTCTGCAGAAGGCCTTTGGCAAACACTAATATAATATCAATGAATATTTGCCATCTATACCTTTGGGTGGTACAATAATTGCCTGTGTGTATACATTGTGAAGGTGGCATAGAAGGAAACAGGACATGGTCTCTGGCAGAACTCTGGGTACCAGCACCCCCTTGTCACATGCCACCAGCAGCCATGCAACCTGCCTCTTACATATTCCATAGGGAAGATGCCTCTTCCATATTCCAGAGGGAAGATGCCAGGATTTGAGCTGGAACTTACACATTGCACCAAGCTCCTACATTTAATAGATACTACCTATGATGGCTGAATCTAAAATGTTCCCCCCAAGCTCTTGGTCCCTAATGTAGTAACATTCAAAGGTAAGGCTTTTGGGAAGTGATTGGATGATGAGGGGCTCTAATCTCATCAATAGACTAATCCATTCACAGATTCATGATTTGTTGGCATTCTTAAGAGGTGATGGAAACTTTAAGAAGTGGGGCCTAGGTGTAAGACGGTCATTGGGGGCATGCCCCAGAAGATATTTCTTATCCCCAGCCCCTCTGCCCTCCCCTCTCCCCATGCTGGCCACCGTGAAGCTAGCAGCCCCCTTGACTTCATGCTTCTATCATCATGATCCTCTGCCTCACCTTAAGACCAAAGCAAGAATTCAGCCAACCATGGACTGAAATCCCTAAAACTGTGAACCAAAAGAAATCTTTCCTTCTTAAAGTTGATTTGTGTCACAGCAATGGAAAGCTAATACTAAAGACAGAACTGGGACATGCATGTGTTCACTTTCCCTAAACCCTATCCAATGCTTTTCTATCATACAACAGGATAGGACATAAGGAAATTTGGCTCAGAAGGGGCTTCCTCTACTTAACTGTCCACAGGCTGAGGCAGCGTGAAACAGGTCACATGCTTACCTTGCATGGTCTGCCCAGGCGTCACTTAGCAGCAGTACCAGGTGCACATGCAGGCCAGCTGAGGACCACTTGGTCTGCCAGTGACAGGTCTGCTCGGTGAATGATAATATGGACCAAGGGAGAAAGTTTATTTCCTGCAAATTTCCTTCTGCCTGCTTCCTTAAAGACTCATTGTTATGCTCATCCAAAGGACAGATTTCTCTAGATTGTTTTTGTTTTGTTTCAGGTTTCAGTTATCCACGTCTAAACATTTTCAGAGTGAACTACAGGTGTACTAAGCTTGATTATTTAAAAATATGAACACATGCAGTTGAACATTTATAAAGTAACTTCTTTAAAATCTGAGCCAAGTTTCACAAACTCGATGCTTTTTCTTTCCTGAAGGAAATCATCCCACACAATAAAATTATTTTCCTCTTATGTGGTAACTTCCTTCAAAGTACATCAGCAAACAACTAAGCAAATATTATATGAAAGATCTTGTAGGGGATAATGCAGAACTAGAAAATTAGAGTAGTTTATTTTCAAAGGACTTACAATGTAGCTGCAGAAAGTATTGATGATAGCTGGCAGCTATTGAAAACTTCAGACCTTGCACCAAGCACTTCCCACAGGAAGTTTCATTTACTCCTTTTAACATGTTTAGAAAAGAAGAACTGGAGGCTGAAAATGGACTTGGGGAAGTTTTATGTCTCTGGCGAGGAGTAGAGATGGTAGTATACAAGCTATGCAACTCCTAATCACAGCCTGCATGTGCCGCACGCAAGAGCCACTGCTGTGTGTGAACCACTTCTCAGGCAAGGGTGCAGAATCCTGGGGGATTCCCAGTATATCACATCTTTTGAATTCCTACCTGCCCCAGCAGTGCTCATGGCCAAGGCTGATCTCATGTTTGTTGATTATTGCTCAAGAGAGAAGCAACACGTTGTCTTGTGTTACTCTGAGAGTTGATAACATCCTTATAAGGAATAAATAGTCTCAACAGATAGAATGAAATCAAGCCCATGACCACATTTTAGGACAGCCCTACACACTGGTGGGCAAAGATCTGATCATCCATATCTGCTGAACAGGCAAAAAATGGTTATATCTCATTTTCTGGAGGAACCTTAACCCTTGTCCTGGGGAGTCAAGTGCAGGGATCAGGAGTCCACACATGCAGATCCTTGCTTAAGAGCTCTGGGGTAGTTCCTACTGAAGCCAGGGAAGCTTGCAGCTGGGCCTGTCCTCTAATGCTGAAAGGGAGCTCTGAGTTGTGATCAGGCTATGATCCTGGCACCAGATCAAATGTATGCATGTATGTGTGTGTGTGTGTCTAGTCTTTAATTCATTCCTTTATTTAATTAAAAATGTTAAATACATACATCCTGCTTTACTTTTCCAGGAAGCATCTGGACTCTGCCTGCTGATATCTACACATAAAGTGAAGGCTGCTGAGGGTTGAAAATGGGAGAGACAAGAATCAAAGCAAAGGAGCCAAGTCTAGTGAAATCTGGGTCCCTCTGAGAATTTGTCATCAAACATATTTCGAATCCATCAAAGATATTTTTAAATTAAATGAGTTTAGCTTTCTGGGCAGAGAGGTCTGGAAAAAAGTGCCTGTGTCCCCCCCACACCCTGTCCCCACACCTCTCCTTTCACCTTAGAGCTTCCTTTTCCAAGAATAAAAGGGCACCACCTGTGTGAGCTGGCCGGCTGCTCTGCAGCCAGAGTCTGGGGAATAGCTTAGTCCCAGGCAATACATGCCCGGGTCTGCTCTCCCTTTGGGGCCCAGCATACTACTGGAGAGGAGAGGTGAGCTTGCCTAGTGTGACTCATGCTAAGGAAGTAGAAAGCCCAGACACATTGGGTTCATCAATTTCTCCCTGGTTGTAGACTGTGCTTACTAACCCAGGCAGTATTTGCAGACACTGAGACTCCACACAGTAACTGGCAGGCCCCAGAAGACAGCCCCAGCATAGATTTGTAGATGACAAATATAGCCTGATGATCAGTGCTATCAGATTTTTCTCTTCCTTTTCATGTTATTCTTTAATTACACAACTTTTCAGAAGAGTGAGATAAGATTGATTCCTCCAACTTATTCCCTTGTTCAGATTCAATCAATATGCTTTAGCATCCTTATGGTTCCTGGCCATATACAATGCATAAGTGCCATAGTCAAATGTTATTATATCCTTGGAACAAGGTCTAGGGTGAGCTTGTAGACAAGAGCAGTTAGAGGAGCACTAAATCTCCTGCCCACAGTGTGGGCACAGAACAGTATTCAGTTCAGAACTTGATCATCTGCCCCGGAGAGCAGACCAGATTCCAAACTTCTCTCACCTTATCCCTGCCTCATGTTCTTAAGCCAGGAGCCCAAGGTTGGCTCATGAGCTCTGAATTTAAAGTTGATCTCTAAGTGACAAAGAAAAATATGATGTACCAATGCTCAAACTATAGATTAGCTATTTGGAGATTCAATTGGACAGAAAATGTCTTTGATAAAAAAAAAATCCAAGATCCAGGGATCTTTCAGCTGAGTTCCCTGGGGTGAGCTCAACTTGGCTAAAGCATGTATTCAGAATCTACTAAATGCTACACCTGAGCCAGTTGGTGTAGAAACAGGGGTGAAAGAGTCAGTGTGCATCGCTAGCCTCTGTAATGGAACGCTCCATTGTACAGACATGTATTTACCCAAGGACAGGGATAAGAGTTCATTGCTTCCATAGATTGTTTGCTAGTGTCCAGTTTTCTCTTGGATTCAGGCTTGATGGGCTCCACTTTTTCTTGAACATTTCCTCTTTCTTTATGACTTTTCCTCTAACTGTGGGCTTTAAGTGGGCTGATGAGGGAAGGAAGCAAGTACAAAGTGTTAAACACGCAGGTTTCTTTGTGCACAACTCGCATACCACTGGGAACCCCAGGAAGACGGGGTACAACTTATCCAACATCGTCATCTGACAGTGGGTGAAGCTGGGAGGTGTGGTTATCAGTTCTCTTTGTTCTGGCACTGGCACAGGGAGCATGAAGACGGTGGAAGGAGGCCCAATCTCCCTAACAGGGAAAACAGCAGGGCATGGAGCAATGGAAGCACTGATACCTAAGTGGGGAAGAGGAATGTGGACCCAGGGATGTCAGCCTATCGGTCTCCTTTGAGAATAAGGAGTACAGGCAGTGTGGGCAGAGGTGTTCCTTCCTACGGCTCTTTTTTGCAAGAAGTTTCTATATGAAATAGGGGAACAGGTTTGAACTAGCTCTATACACCTGTGATGAGGTTTCCTTTGTCCTTAGATGAGAATGTTACCTATGTGACTCTTACAACAGTGTGCACAGAGGTGTAGTGGGTAGCGGGGAGAGCCACTGGGTAGGGAAACTTCTTGGATCCTGCTGTTTATCCCCATATAAGTGTTCCATGGTACCAAGGACAGATCTTGGGCTTTGTGGAGCCTGTTGCACACTCTGAGTGTCATGTAGGGTGTCAGGGCCTGTGTCTGTGTGGCAGGTGGAGATCTCTATGACCTGGAAATGGTTGGTGGGAGTCCCACTGGCTGAACCAGCATTCCAGGAACAGCACCACTGTCCTGGGTGTCTCACAGATTCACCAGGGCCAGCCAGCTCCAAGTCTGGATTTCACATCAGAGGCTAGGAGTGGCCCCGTTCACCTTGGATGTTACTCTGCTTGGTGTCAGGTGTCAAAGACTTTGTTGTACTTATGAGTTGTTCATGAGCAGCAGAAGAATCCACCCCAGTCCTGGCTGGGGAGGTTGGGCAGAGGAGGCTGCCTGGGCCCTCTGCTGTGTTTGTCTGAATAGTTGGTGCTTGGTCAGCCGCCCTCCTGTTTGTGGAGCACCGCCACAGCCGGGCGGAGAGACTGGAAGGGAACCTGGCCTTGAGCTGGCACTGTGGTGCCTCACACCCAGGTGACTACAGTGAGAAAGGGGGCATTGTGGTGCCTCACACCCAGGTGACTGCAGTGAGAAAGGGGGCATTCAGGTTCAGCCCTCATCCCACAAAGAAGGTTGAAGTGTCCCCAGTGTCCCCAGATACACCTGGACTTAGGTGAGAGCAGCTGCAGGAAGGAGAGGTCAGTTCCTGCTTGACACAGTGCTAATTCTGCAGCTCCTGGATGAGGCAGAAGAACCTCATCAGCAGAGATTACCAGTAGTTCTTCCCAGCCTGGCTATGGGATTCTTTCTGTTTTTCTTCTTTAGGGAAAACAGCCCCTGGGGTTGAAAAAGGAGTGGGGGATAGCCAGAAAAGAAAACAAAAACAAAACAAAACAAAAAGGTCATTTCCCAAAGATCTTGCTTAAGAAGAAAAGAAATCAAAGCTAAGCCTTAAGCTCAGTCTCAGATCATGGGGACAGCATGACCTCAGCAGTCGCTGCAGCTTTGTTCTCTGTTGTTGGGGGTCTTTTTCAAAGACTGGTTGGGCCATCTGACGGTGTCTTGGGCTTAAGGGATGCAGGGCCCTCCTGGGAGGGAGCTCATTCAGATGAGAGAGCGAGGCATGGAGGGCCCAGCTAGTGATAAGTAAGGGTGCTGTAGGCGAGTACACACCAGTGATACCAGTGTGGTCACATCTGTCCTCAGGCTGGTTACACAGCTTGTCACCAGAAAGAAAGGCTGTCAATAAAAAAACAAAAACAAACAAACGAAAAACAGATTTCTTAAAAGTCCAGTTATATTTCAGATCTCACTAACTGAATGAATTGGGAAAGTTAGATGTTCCTGGGGATTGTTATGAGGTCCTAGGAGCTAAGGTTTGGTACAAGCACTGTTCACTTTGGCCCTGGGGACTACTCACGAGGCAGGGAGCAGCCCTCCCCAGGCTGTTCCACAAGCCACTCCTGCGACGCCCAGCACGTGACACAGGCAGGGTTCCCCTGGAGACACAGGAACACCTAGCACTGGGGGTGCGTCCTGAGAGACAGCCTGGAGTGAGCTGGTCAGAGTACATGGTCCAAGGGATTGGGTCCTCCTCCACCCACCAACCAGAGTCCCTTTCCTAGCAGCCCAGCCGGAAGCACAGAGGAAGGGAAGGACTGTTTCCTGGAAGGTACTTGAAGCTCAATGATTCTTCCCACCTCACCTGCTGTTTATTCTATTTATTGTCTGATTCTGCTTGTGTTGTGTTAACAGAACACCACAGACAAGGTGACTTATAAATAACAGAAATTTATTTTTCACTGTTCTAACAGCCAAGAAAGCCAAGATTAGGTCACCAGCAGATTCAGTGTCCAGTGCAGGGCCACTTGCTGGCTCTTCACAGGATGAAGAGACAAATAGTTTTCCTAGGGGCTGGGGATTTAGCTCAGGGCCGTAAGTGTCTGCTTGGCAAATGCAAGGTCCTAGGTTCAATCCCTGCCACCAAAACAAAACAAAAAACCAAATAGTTTTCCTTAGGCCTGTTTTATAAGGGCACTGATCTCACTAAGGAAGGCTTTGCTCTTGTATCCTAATCACTTCCCCTTTCAAAGTGACTTTCAGAGATGGTGTTAGCTAACCCCACAAGCTAATACCATCTTTGAAAATCACTTTGGTGTTCCCACAAGCTGGCACCATCCTTTTGATCATTCCGATTTCAGTATGTGAACCTTAGCAGGACACAAACTTTAAGGTCATTGCATTTAGTAAATGCCTCAGCTCTGTTCCATTTCTATGTCTTCTAGACTGGGTTTTCTTCCATCTTTATAAATCTTTTTTTCTTTTTGAGACAGGTGTCACTATACAGTTTAGATTGCCTGAACTCACTTTGTAGCCCAGGCTGGCCTTGAACTTGCAGCAATCCTCCGGCCTCAGTCTCATGAGTGCTGGGATTATAGGCATGCACCACCATACCTGGCACTATAAATATTTTTTAATAAAAAAATTTAGTGCGTGTTTATCATACATAATAAATACATTCAGTGTAGAAAGTTGGTAGACATACACAGCACATCCTATTCCTTTTTACTTATCTCCCTTCTCTATCCCTCGATTCCCTTATCTCTGAAAAGATCTACCTTCCCTTTTATTATCATCTCTTTTATTTTGTTCTTTAGATTATTCACACTTTGAATTTCTCATACAAGGGAAACATGCAGCATTTAGCCCTCTGTCGATGTCGCTCCCGGCCGGCAGGAAGGACACACGACAAAGTCTGGCAGTGGACAACCTTTTCTTTTATTTTTCTTCTCCGTACAGCCTGCCCTGGGATCGCTCCCAGCCGAAGCCTCCTTTGGTCCGCTCCCCGCGGCTCCTTCTGGGCTTCTACTTCCGGGCTTCTTCTTCCCCCCCAGGGGTGGCACCAGTATATATACGGATACAGTGTCCAATCATGTTAAAGTGAGCAAGGCAAGCTGATTGGCTAACATCATCAGTTGCCAGGCAGACTATATTGTTGAGCGGGTTGCTTACGCGGTAAGCAGGAAACTAACGTGCTCGATGGGAGGGGTAATCTACCTCAGGCTTTACTCTTTACTACAGGCCTCATGTCCGCCAAGTGAGGCGACCGGGCTCGGGGCTGCGGCTCCCAACATCTCCCCCTTTTTTATTTTTTATGAATGTGCGCATCGTAGCCCTTTCTGGACTGGGTGCAGAGGCTTATGCCCTATGCGTAGGCCCACCGTAGGTCCTTGGCTTAGACCCTGGTCGGCCGTCCCATGGTCTGCCAAGGCCCTGAGGCCCTCGTCCTTTTTCTAGGGCCAG